CACACACACACTCTCACACACACACACACACACTCACACATGCACACACACACACTCACACACACAGACAGAGACACACACACACACTCACACACACAAACAGACAGAGACACACACACAATTATATAAATATTACAATTTAAATATTAATATTAATGGATATTTATAATACATATACATATGTATTCTAAGTGTTGAAATATTTATAATAAATATTATTGTTAGTGGTAATGTTGTAATTTAATTATTAGTAATACTAATTTTAATACTATTATTATTATTATTATTAAAAATATCAATGTATGTGTTAATGTATGTATATGTAAGTTGTATAATAAATATTCTTATTAATGGATATTTATTATGCATATAATGTAGAATAAATATTTATTTTAATGAATAAGTATTATAAGCATTGGAATATTTATAATAAATATCATTAATAATATTATAATGATTAGTAATACAAATTTTAATATTAAAATTTATTAAATATCTCAGTTTGAATGTGTATAATAAGTAAAATAAATATTCATGTTAATGGATATTTATTATGTCCATTACAATAATGTGTAATAAATGTTCATTTTTATGAATATGTATTATAATTACTGTAATATTAATATTATAATGATTATTTTTATTAATTACTAGTGCTGTCAAACAATTAACCCCTATTAATCGCATCCAAAATAAAAGTTTTTGTACACAATATATGTGTGTGTACTGTGTATATTTATTATGTATATATAAATACACTCACAAACATGTATATATTTAAGAAAAATGTTACATGTATATATTAAACATATTTTTATATAATACAAATTATATGAATATAAATATATACATGTAAATATTTTCAAAATATATACTGTATGTGTGTGTATTTATATATACATAACTATGTAAACAAAAACGTTTATTTTAAATGCGATTAATCGTTTGACAGCACTATTAATTACAATTTTTTTTTTTTTTTTAATTAATTGTCATTAATGTAACATTTATTATAAAGATTGCATAATAGCATATTAATGTTGTGTGCTCGACTCCTGGAGACTGATGCTGGCGTGTGGTTCTCCAATGTTCTGGTGGTGTGTGTCTCTCGTCAGGTTCTCAGTGTGAATAAGAGTGTTTCTATGATGGACCTGCAGGACTCTCGCATCAACAGCGTGTCCAACCTGCACTCGGTGAACGACCTGCTGAACTCGTCCCAGGGGTCTCTCGCCGGGGCCCCTCTCAGGGCCGGAGGGCGTGTCTCGGGCGGCTCCAACGTGTCGGGCGGTTTGCGTCTGAGTCACTCGGGCGGCCTGGCCACGGACTCGCTGTCTCAGGCGGCTGCCATGCAGGTGCCTCTGTCCTTCCAGAACCCTCTGTTCCACCTGGCGTCCGACGGGCCGCAGTACCACACCCCCCCGCCGCCGCTGCTGCTGCCGCCCGAGCCGGAGAACGGACACGTGCCGTCCTTCGCTCACAGCGGCTTCTCCCGCAGCGAGGATCTGTCGGCCCTGCGCTCACAGAACAGCCTGGTGCAGCCCAACATCGTGCACTCGCACAGCTACAGCGACGACTTCACACGCCACAACCAGGCCGACTACGCCCGCAGACAGCTCTCGCTGCAGGTGCAGGTGATCTGACCCACTCGCAGTTCACCCCATCACAGGCGATTAATTGCTAATGCTTTTATCACGGTGTACGGTATCAGGGGCTCGCAAAATTTCCAAATCCCTGCTAGCCCTTCGGGCAGGTACTCTTCAGATTTTGGTTGCCCGAAAATTAATTTAACTAGCCCAAATAAAAAAATACCTTTTTTTTTAATATAGAAAATCAGATAGGAGTTTAAATGTCAATCAAAAATATTTTCAATACACAAATATCAGCAAGTATGAAGGAAGGAATTTTATTTCACTATTTACAGGGTATCTGCAGAATTTTTTTTAATTAATATAAGGCGATTTATGACCCATTTTAAGAGCTGCACAAGTAAAATGAACAGTATGAGTGGGCTTGGATAATGTCTGTAGTAACATACAGTACTGAGCCATAAAATTACATGATTTACAGTTCAGATACAGGTTTTCACAAAAACAAAAATCTTATACAACAGCATTTCAGCCTTTAGATCAGTGGTTCTCAACCTTTTTTTCCACCGGGCCGCACTATGATCCAAGTGCAAGTCTCGCGGGCCGCACGCATATCATTTACATATTACGTCAGCAATACAAACCAACCTGATTTATAATATTATAGCCTAAATATTATGATATCTAATCGATTACATTCATTGAAATAAATAATTCTACTCCCCATAAATAACACCCAATTTTGTAGTAAGGAGTAACAGCACAATTATAGGCGGAGTTTCAATTTTATGCGTGGCAGACGAGCCACGAGCACTTTTTTATGTTCTACATTTCATGTATTTATGTAACACATATTCTACATTAAAAAAATAAATTTAGAATGAACAATAACTGCTGTACAAAGAGTAAAAAAAAAGAAAGAAAAAAAAACATACCTAATCCAGAAAAGCCGCCTCTTTTTCCAAATTGCGCAGATGACCACTATCTTTCTTTCATCTCTTCTGATAAATTTTCAGTCAAATCATTTTCTGTGTGCTAGATCAGAGCTAGAGCCCTGCATTTCAGCGACTTTTTTACGCCCCTCGGGCTGGGCTTCGGGACAATTTTCACATCATAGTTCAGACACGGGCAGGGCCTCGGGCCTGTTTTAGGCTTCTCCTTATTTTTATATTTTAGACATCTATCAATTAGTGATGAAAAAAGATTGCCGCGCTGGTGGAAACAACACGAGCCCGTGCTACCGAGACTGTCAAGAGCGGCTCGACGGTGTTTAGTGTCCAGCAGCAGCATGTATGTATGGTGCGTGCCGTCAGCGCAGCTGAAGAGTTCTACGTTCAAATGCACGCAATAAGCTTAAGTTTGCCACAAAGCATCGGCAAAAGTAATTACCATAAATGCGTCAGCTTTTAATTGTGTTCAGCACGGTGGGCCGCAGTTGAATTCGTGACGGGCCGCGGGTTGAGAACCACTGCTTTAGACCATTTTTATGAAAATGGATAAATCAAGCATATAAATTGTTAATTTAAATCGTATAAATATTACTGTCTTAATTGTTTAGATTTTTAGAAGGCACATTAAATTCTTTCTCATTTACAACACTATGTGTTTGCTGCGTTAAAAACATGAGTTGATATTTGCATTGATCTGACCATAAATGCAAATTCATTCTCTGCCACGAGGTGGCGCTTTAGGAGCGCTGAAATACTGCGGTTTCCCCAGTAACGGCTGAACACAACGCAGCTCCGCGCTCATAAACGCTGCTTTATCAGGAATTATAGGTCAAATTAAATTAAAATACCGACGACATGTTTCTGAGGACAGTCGGTTGCCTTCAGATACATTCAAATAAAGACATCCGCGCCGCGTTTTGTCTTGAAATGTGCAGCGCTCATATTTATTCAATGACATCATTGCCTTTTGAAGTTTAATCCAGCCGTATCGCGACTCTTGTCTTTCCGTCCCCAACTGTAAGACCTCTTGAAATTATAATTAAGACATTTCTTATACCGTATTTACAAATTTTATGGCCTTAAGTTTGATACAACTCACTTTATGAGTTTTTAAGGACCCGCGGGAGATCTGTATTTAAGGTAGCCCGATTGGAAAGCACAATAGCCCCGGGACGTCGGGCTAGAGATTTTGCGAGCCCTGGGTATTATAGTTGCAAAAAAGTGTTGTCATAATACAGTAAAACAGGTTTAATAACTTCGTTCTTATAACAAATATAACTGAACATTTAAGTACAATAAAGCAATACATGGAAAAGTATAAAATTAAAAATTGTACACAGATCAAAGTGCTAAAGAATGATGAAGACCAATAGGTATCTCTTTACAATAAGATCTCATTAGTTAGTCTTAGTTAATGCATGAGCAATAGCTACATTTGCTACAGAAGTTATTAATCTTTGTTAAAAAATACAACTGTTCGTTCATTAAATAACACAGTTGCAACTTTTGATTTTAACAACAACGTGTTATTAAATATTGGAATTACCTGAGATTAATGAATGTTTTGAAGAATTTTTCATTGGCAGTTTGTTAACTAATGAATTAACTAATGAAGCCCTAATGTAAAGTGTGACCGAACAAATGAAAAAATGAAGTCAAACATTTATTCTGCGTCTTTTTACAAAGCATTCTGTTGCAGCTGAATAACACGAGCAAAAATCAGCAGCCTACAAGAGAAACTTTTGCTCATGCTTTTAACAAAGGTACCACAGCAAAAACAACTAGACTAATACAAATTTCAAATATTAAAGTGTTAAAGACAAGTATTAAATAGGTCAAAAAACAAATTAATTAGCAATATCATAAATAAATACAACTGAACCAAATTTCAGGTACAGAAACTGTAATTAAAAGTTTAAAAAATACTGCATAGTTTTCTTTTCATAAATAAAATTTTGATTAAAGTTATTAAAGATATTCAGTCAAGATGAGTGAATGATTTTCTTTTGTTCTTTGATTAACATTAATGACAGGCAGCGCATATTTATTAGGCTGCTGTCTCTTTAACACCGAACGCACGCAGATCTACAAATACTTGTTACACAAGCCTTTTCTTTCTCATCTGTTTACATTCACTTAAGACAAAAACGGCTGTGTTTATGATGATAAACTAATGTATTTTTCTGCATGCTGGTCGATAAATATGAAAGAAGTCAGTTCCAGCTCGGAACAACCTTTTCTGCAGTGGAAACGCATGGAACGGTTCGAGAACGGTTCGGCTCTTTCAAGCTTTGTAATGGCATGGGTGGGTGTTTTTGTTCAACAGTCCAAAAGTAGTCAAATAAAGCGCATCCATCCATATTAAAACATGCCTCACACGGCTCCAGGGGGAGAATAAAGGCCTCCTCTAGCGAATCCATGCGTTTTTGTAAAAAATATATCTATAGAGAGTGAATTCTACATTAAAATACCTTCAAAATGATATATGACTTGTAGGAATCGGACAAAAAATGGCTTGAGCTACAGCAGTTTGAAGACAATAGAGTCAGCAGAGTTGATTTCGAGAGAAATCGAGTTCAAGTTTTCTGAAGATACCAAAGAAAAATCACAGAGCAACGTTGCATATTCTCCTCCAATTCTTTTCTTAATATAATTACTATATGTGACCCTGGAGCACAAAACCAGTCAGAAAGGTCAATTTGAAATAAGCTGAATAAATAAGCTTTCCATTGATGTATGGTTTGTTAGGATAGGACAATATTTGGCCAAGATACAACTATTTGAAAATCTGGAATCTGAGGATGCCAAATTTTCTCAAGGAAAAAAATCTATCAACTAATGCTGTAAAATATTCACGAGAGTCAGCTGGTACTACATTACTATAATATTGAAGGTTAAAATTGACTGATTTGTTAAAATTACACTTAATGAAG